ATTTTCTTCCTAAGTCCATACGTTTCAATATTTATTAGTTTGTCATTCAAATTTCAGCGAGATACCTTTTAATATACATCTATATATCTTAACATTCGCATTAATAACACTCCTAGATGTCGTCCGCGACTCCGTCCGCGCGGATTTAATAACACCTTATAAGTAGCCTATGTGTTCTTCCAGACTATGTTCTATATGTATGCCAAATTTCAGCGAAATCAATGCAGCCATTCTGGAGATACCTAACAAACATACATCCAAACATTCGCATTTATAATATTAGTAAGATTAACACAAGCATTCTCTTCTTGATTCTATTTACTTAAAAACATTTTATAACAATAATGAATAGAAGAACACAGACTAATTAAGTTTTTATTTAATTCAGCGTGAACGCGTGCGGTAATATTTATTAAATTGAATAAAACAGTTTGCTTATAATTTACTAACATCGTAGTCCTGTCCACCTTACATTGATAAGTCGTGAAGCAGTCATTACTTCAAGCTCAAACAAGTTAGACTAGACCACACGAATATTCATATTCATAAGAAATATTAATATTAGCTGTATAACGTGAGCGTTAAGCAACAGCAGCAAGCTACAAGCGATGGACTGGCAGGAGAAGGCGCTAGGCGACTTTGGCGATCTCTTGTAACGGAGGGCAAGACCCACTTTGGTTCGATGCGCCAGCGGAGTAAGTTAGTAAGTATAACGTGAGTATAAATGCTTTTACTTTAGTAAAACGAGTAAATTTAGTATAAAATATTATTTAGATAAAAGCAGTGGAAACCACCAGGGTTAGACAAAGTGCATTTACTCCGAAACGATTCTATAGCGAACTTCAAAATTGTATGGAACAGACGCGCAACAATCACGTGACTTATCCAAAGTTATTCTCAGTTCTATACATATTTGAAGGTCGTTATGGAATCACTTCGGGGTTGAAATAACGAAGCGACCACTGTCCTTAGACATATGCAATTTCAGATGCGTTGTGTACACACTAACAAACACACAACCACGGAGAAGACCTTTTCCTCTCTTTCTCTCTCTCCCCCTTCCCACCCTTTTTCTTATAGGGAAAGGATGTGAAGTGGAAGTGGACTTTCCGGAAAATATTTTCTTTCTGTGCATCCTCTCCTCCGTCGATTAAAGGTAGGCGCAACGCATATGCAATTTGCGTATGTCTATGGGCAACGGTCACTTCGCTATTTCAGAGGTTTCAGGTGGCCGCTCGCTCGTTTGCCACCTTATGATATAAAAAAATAAATAAAAAAAAAGACAAACGTCAAGTGGAAGAAATTCCGAGTACAGTCTGACGAGCGTGTATGGAGGTCTAATATTATTATTCTTTCTCTCTCTTAAGCTATATAACGCCCACTGTTGAGCAAAGACCTTCAAAAATCGTCACGATTATCAGTCCAGCACTACCCGCATCCAGGATACTCCACCTATATGACCATATTCGGTCCATTGCGGGTAGCCTGTCTACGCTGCGTCGACATAGGTCGATCGCCGTGGCAGAAATTTCAGAACTTTTTGGACCCTACTAATATAAGAAGTAAATAAGAATGGACTGATAGCGAAGAGCTTCAAACAACATCTCAAAAAGCTCTCGCTAAACAGTTGTATTAAGGGCCCGATACAGAAGGCTGTTATCCTAGGAACCGCGCGCATCGTGAGAAGGTTCCTGTCTCTGCAGCCCTGACCACTGGTTGTTTGAGTCATGGGATTCCGCAGCCGGTTGTGTTCTATTTTTAATATATGTTTTGTATATTTATTTTTGGATATGATAAATAAATTAATACGTGATAATAAGAAATAAATAAAAATAAAATAAATTAACGTGAATAAATTTAACTATTATTGCATATGCAATTTACTTAAGTTATTAAAATGAATCAAGTTAGTGAATAAATATTAAGTTACGAACGCGATTTAACAAATGAAAGTAATAAATAAATTACTTGATGCAAATATTATCGGGAACTTATTGATATTCAACAAGTAATTTGTCTAGAATTAATCTCTTATAGCTTTAACTAAGTTTAAGCGCCGGTGGCTCAAGGGTTAAGCAATTCTGATAGGTCCTGGGTACGAATCCAATGTGTTTTATAATTTAAATTTACATTTATCCGACGTTAACAAACTGCACATATATTTGAAGAAATTTAAATATATGTGAAGTCAACCCGCACTGAGCCAGCGTTGACTATAGCCTAGTCACTAACTTGGAGTAGGCTCCGAGCTCAGTGGAGATGTATAGTGAGCTGATGATGAAATTATCTTACTATTATTATAAATGCGAATGTTTGGATGGATGGATGTTTGAAGGTATCTCCAGACTGTATGAATCTCGATGAAATTTGACATACATATATAACATAATCTGGAAGAACACATAGTTTACTTAGTCGTGACGACGTTGACGAAGTCTTGAGCGAAAGCTAGTTATAATAATATTTTATAAAGAATTGGAATAAAGCATTAAAATGCTATATTTTTTAAGTAAATCTTTACGTATTTTCTAACAGAACTAGCCGCGATGTCTCTGTCGCTGTGTCTCTTAACGCGCCGCATAAGTTTTTAGCGTTATACCAAAAATAGATATGTTTTTTAAACAGATTAAACAGATTATAATGTTTATCTCTTAACAAATAATACAGATTAAATATCTTTAAAGCTGTTGTTATTAAAAATAATCTTAACGGTACGTATACTATTGTTAATTTTTAATCTTTATGCAGTTTTAAAAAAGGAGGTCCTATTAACAAAATGAGGTGTTTTTTTCTTTTTTTGAATAGACATGTACTTGACCATAATCCACGAAATGCGAATGTTTAGATGGATGTTTGTTTGAATTTAACTCCACAACGTCTGAACTCGATAAAATTTGGCATACATATAGAACATAGTCTGGAAGAATATATAGGCTACTTATTATGTTTTTTTTTAATTCCGCGCAGACAGAGTCGCGGGCGACAGCTAGTAATCTTATTATCGTAGTAAATTCTATCCTATACCACTATTGCCATTTGCACCTTCTTCTATGTTTTTAATTAAACATAATAAATAGTAAATAATTTGTTAATTTTAAATTAAACATGAAGAATTGTAGATTTTGGTTGTCTATCGTTCATGTTTGCGTCGTATTTAATAGTATTAGTTAAAAGTTTGTTTTTAATTGCATTTCAAACGTACGATATTTTACGTAATATCCTACTTGAAAGTTCCCACTGTTTACTATGTCGGAATCACTAAAGGGTCATTCCACTCCTTGGCTGAAGAAACGAAATGAAAATATAGGTCTAGTGGAAACCGGCCTTTAAACAATAAAGATAATAAGATAAGAGTCGTGTAAACAGAGCCTGTATTCAGATATTCAAATGAAGTCACGTCTCTGCCCGCCCTACAAACCCGCGGCGTGATAGTACGGTCAATATTGACCGGTAAAGCGCTAGAAGTTGATAGTTTTTGTTTTTTACACCTTCTATGAAGACACATAAGTGTACAAAAATAAAGTAATTATTGCATAAGGCCGGCAACGCATCTGCGGTTCCTCTGGTATTGCTGATGTCCATGGGCGTCGTTGAACACCTCGGTGTTCCCGCTGCTCATTTGCCCCCTTCTGTTTTTTTTAAATAATGTCGCCCGTGACTCCGTCCGCGCGGAAATAAAAATCTTAATTAGTATCCTATGTGTTCTTCCAGACTATGTTCTACATCTATGCCAAATTTCATCGAGATGCATGCAGCCGTTCTGGAGATACCTTCTAATAAATATCCATCTATAAATCTTAGCATTCGCATTTATAATATTAGTAAGAAATTATTTAATTTTTGATTGTCATTTTTTTTGGATTCTTTGTTTTTTTTTCTGCGTTAATTGTGTTTCAAATTTGTTAAAAAGATGGCGACGTCTATGAATTACGTTTGGCGGGAAAGTTCTATTTAATATTGTCATATTGCAACTAAGCTATACATTCTATAGAGATGCTAAATTTCTAATTTAAAGAGTTTATAATTTTTTATATTATTAACGCGCCGTATCCGATCTTGTTTTAATTTTGGGGTGACTAGCAATGAGTAGTTTGCCTTTAATTTAATTTTACTTTGTTGCTTATAATAGAAACGATATGTTAAAAAATTTGAAAATATTCAATATGAAAATATTATATAACAAAGTTGGCAAATAAAACGAAATAGTGTAATAAAAATCACACAGCTCGCAACAAAATGATAAGCTTTTGTTGATTTTAATGCAAAAATCAATCCCGCCTACAATCATAAGCATAAGAAATTTAATTAAAAAAAATCAAAGTATTTACCAAACACAGTTTAGTTTTTAATGGCGGAAAATTTGCGTGAAATTCAAATCTTATCGCGTTTTATTAAAATTAAATTCCGCAACTTTGCAAAACAATTGGCCGCCAATTATTTTAACGACAAAAATAATTACGAACGCCGAAGCGTATTTCAATACGATTTGAAATCGATTTATTTTCTATTCGAACGCACCTTTATCTCGCGGCATTAAGCTAATAAAGCATCGGAGTTAATTAAAAAGTATTACTCGGTTCGTGGCAGAAATCGACGCGCCTTCGCCCGGCGCGGCTCGCCAGAGAAAAAAACAAAAGCGACCATCGACGCGTTAACCCACCCAATAGCGCCTTAATTGAATCACAACCGACGAAATTCGAAAGCACATCCACCCCGAGCGATAGAGACCAACTCGAGCCGACTCGCCATCCGGCCGGTTGTAAGCCGAGAGCGGCGCGCTGAGCCGCCCACTTCTAAAGCGTTCCAAATTCAAATTCCACCTTTACACCACGGCCGACCAATCACAGCGCAAGTATTCAAATAAAGAACGCCGAGGCGACATTTAGCCGACCCCCATAGGATTTCCTCGGCCAATAGGAACTCGGGAGTCCATGTTCGTCGTTTTTTTTTCCGCGCGACGGGCGTCGGGGAGACTGGACCGGATCATTCGGCCGCGCGCCGCCCTGGCGTTCGTATCGCGCGCTCGCGTCACGAAAATGGATTGTGTGTGCACATGTGATCTCGATTCGGTGTAATTTTGTGACGGTACTATTGCGGTGAAGCATGATGCCTCTCGCACCGACTCCTGTGGTGGCGGTGCCATCGAAGCCGAAGATCGGTTTCAGTATAGACAGTATAGTGGGAGGTTCGGAGCGGCCGCGGGCGGCGTCACCGTCGCCGGGCAGCCCGGGCTCGCCGTCGCCTCTGGCCTCGCCGCGCAGCCCATCGCCGCGGCCGTTGTTGCGGCCGAGCGCGCTGCCTGCAGTGTTCCCGGCACCGGAGCTGAAGCGGCTACCTTATCTGGAGGCGCAGAGCCACCACCAACAGTTCCTGGCTCACTTCCAGGGCGCTGCGCTGGCCGCCGCGCTCGCGCACCAGCAGCAGGGCTTCGGTGCGCCGCTGCCGCCACACCCACCTCATCATCCCGCCGCGCCCGTGCCTCGCGAATCCTACCAGCTCTACCCCTGGCTTATCAATAGGCATGGCAGAATATTCCCCCACAGGTTTCCCGGAGGTAAGACTTAGGATTAAGCTAACTTAAAACTGTTGATAGCAAAGGTTTCTTAATATACTTTTTACTTCACATAGGTATAAAGTCTCTTACCATTAATTGACAAAAATAACAAATAAAATTATTAAAGAAAACGTTTAAATTTTAATCAGTGAAATTCAATAAAAATAAAGAAAATAGGCGTTGAAAATTACGAACAACATTAATTATAAACCGACAAAATCTTTGCCGTGAATTTTATTTATGTAATTTTTTCTTATCTGTAATAGATACAAGGAAATTGTAATACGTTTATATTTAGATATTTTATCGCAAATACAGTCATAAAAAAACTAATTGATTAAACATATTCATATAAGTTTTACTTTTTAATTATAATTTTATAGCGTCCGTAACATAATGCCGGCGGCAACTAATGTGTTCGATTAATGCTTTCTTTCTTTATTTTTTTTTTATAAATATTCGAAATGTTAGCTTGAGGCACTTATTTAGACGTATTTTTTTTTTAACAAATTCGAAATTACGTGACCAAGTTAAAACATTTAATAAGGTGTGCGACATATTTAAAAAATGTTTTAAAAGTATAGACAAAAATATATTTCTTATTTAAATTAATAATAATTAAATTAACAAAATCTTATCATAAATAATTAAAACAATGAATTGGTAAAGTAAATAACCAATTAATATTAACTACAATGTTGTTATCTTAAAGTTTCCAAAACAAAATGTACGCAGATTAAAGTTTTGCGCAATATAGGTAGCTTATCCGAAACAAGAGACAATTAAGATAAATATTATCTGTGGATGCGTTCAGAAATGTTGACGTCGTCTTTTATCATTCGAAAAAAAAGAAAGTCAAATTTTTTGACATTTGACACGGAACGTTGTTTTTTTTTTTAATTCGAGACACAAGTTACAGAGACGTACAGCCGTGATATTAAAAGGCTGAGGTTATTCTTTTTTTCTACATTCATAATATAATAATAGCATGTTCATTTTTACGCATTTAAAACTTTGACTCTTTAAGGTTATTAACAAAGACCTTTTATCAATCAATCTTTTATTATACACTATCTGTTGCCTGTGTCTTCGCGTGTCTTTGTTAAAGATAAAAATTACAAAAGATAAGATAGTTTCAACAAAAATATTAAACATCATCAGGAAAAAACCTCAATTTACCAGTGTATTAAATATTAAAAAATTAAATAAAAAAATATTATAATCGAATTGTGACAACCCTATTCGAATTCATTTAGTTTTTGAGTTTATAGTGTACCGTTAAATGGCAATAATTAAGAATTTTATAAGCATTATAACTTCATTTTTAATTATAAATATTATTCATAATCAATGAAGACCGTATAATCAAAAGTAATTAATTAAAAAGTTTATAATCGAAATATAATTAATTTATAAAAATTAAAAGAAGTTAGTTCGCATTACGATGTCTATTTATAATTTAAATCGTAAAGTTGTCAGTTTAATTAATTTGTGTAGGCTAATGTAAGGGGTCACCTTGTTTCGAATGTGTGACGTTTGCATGTGTGATTGAGTGCATATGTGTGCGTGTTTAACGTTATTTTGAAATTGTATTCGATTTTTAAAATTCTAACGGTTGCCTGTAATTGTTTTAAAACTTTTTAAATTTTGCTTTATCTATAACAAAATAATTGATTTTTTTTATTTACTAGCGTTCGCCCGCGGTCGATTATTCATTTATATATGTACATTTATACGTTCCTACGGTTAAGGAAAACTTCGTAATGCACATATCTGCGAAGAAATTCAAAGATATATGTGAAGTTAACCCGAACTTGACCAGCATCGACTATGGCCTAGTCACCTCTTACTTAAGGTAGGCTCCGAGCCCGAGATCCGTTCAGCCGTTCTGGAGATATGTACTTTCAAACAAACAATCCATCTATGCAAACATTCGCATTTATAATATGTATTCATCATCATCATCATCAGCTCACTATACGTCCCCACCGAGGGGCTCGGAGCCTACCCTAAGTTAAGGGTGATTAGGCCATAGTCAACCACGCTGGCCAAGTGCTGGTTGGTTGACTTCACACATATCATTGAATTTCTTCTCAGACATGTGCAGGTTGCATCACGATGTTTTCCTTCACCGTAAGAACGTCGGATAAATGTACATATGTAAATCGGAAATCGAAAAACACATTGGTACATGGCGGGATTCGAACCCAGGACCTGCAGATTGCAAGTCAAGTACTTGACCACTGAGCCACCGACGCTCACAATTACTACTATTACTACTTATATTTAACAAATATGTATTAGTAAGATTTAATTTCATAGCTTCATACTTATATTTAACAAATTAATAGAGTAATCCATATTAATTGTTAAATAAGTCTATATTATCTGTGCGTCCGTTCCCGCGTTAAACATCATCTGTCAGAGTAATTAAAAACTTATTCTGTCATTATCTGTGCGACTTTTAACCTCCTTGAAGTATTATACATAATTACTGGGGAGTGAACTGATAACCTCCAGCCAGATACAATGTAACAATCTGACCATTAGTCGTAATTATATAGAAGATAATAAAATTGTTATGATGCCCGACATTAATACAATCACTTAATAATCAATTGATTTGTATGTTTGTTTAACGTATTTTTAGAGCGTATTACTGTGAAATTCCTTTGAAAATGACACTTGCATTGTTGTCTCTGTTTTATTATACGAGAATAAAAGGGATGGCAATATAATTTTATACAAGTGCTACGACTGCTGATTTCTATACATGGATAGGTGATTGCTTGAAAATGAAAGCTTTTGCGTTTATTCATTTTTTTTATTTTTTTTCGAATTTAGGCCTTGAAGAGCTGCTTTTTATTTAACCTACACATATTATAAATACGAATGTTTAGATGGATGTGACGTGGATGGATGGATGTGTGTGTTTGAAGATATCTCTAGAACGGCTGAACGGATCTCGATTAAATTTGGCATACGTATAGAACATAGTCTGAAAGAACACATAGGCTACACTAATTAAGTTTTTTTATATATCCACGCGGACGGATTCGCGGGCGACGGCTAGTAACTAATATAATAATAATAGTTGTTATTAAATAGAATATGTTATTGCTTATTAATATAACTTGTTTTATAATATAACTTATCTATTAACTAACTACATTGAATAATCTAATCATCTTTAGTGATGACCTATATGAGTTATTCTCATTGAAAAACGAGACAATTATTAACGGAATAAACGCATAAAAATAACCGATAAATAACGCACATCCCTATTATATATGCCACTTAGCAACGTGTCAGTTCAGTAGTAATTGATTCTACTAAAACCTACCCTAAAATGAAATTTCATTATCTGTGTAAATAAAAAAATAATACTTAATATACAAGGGGTGTTTATAAAGAAAATATTCAGCAAATAACCTTTCGGTGTCATCCGAAACGAGGACAATTGACTGCCAACCCCTCGTAAACTAACAATGTTATTTTTATGAACCCGCTACAATAAAATGCTGTTCAAATTTAATTAAACCGGCTTAACGCCCTTTTTGTTAAAAAAAAAATTGGACGTCACACAATAGTAATGTAAGAGCATTGACAAAGACGCTTTGTGACAAGGCGGGAAAACGCCCGCGATTATACGACGCCTTTGTTACCGATTTTTGATCATTTCGGTAGCTCTAGTGATGTTCTCGAATCGATATTGAGGTTATTTATCGGTTATTTAAAAGATATTTATCGGTTTATCTCTTCTTCGTTCTCTATATGATTTTTATTTACTAACTATGTAAGATAATCATCATCATCAGCTCACTATACGTCCCCACCGAGGTGCTCGGAGCCTACCCTAAGTTAAGGGTGTCTAGGCCACTATGTAAGATATCTTAGTAATATTATAAATGCGAATGTTTAGATGGATGTATGGATGTTTGTTTGAAATTATCTCCGGAACGGCTCAAAGAAATCTGATGAAATTTGGCACAGATGTATATCATAGTCTGGAAGAACAAACGCTACTTATTAAGTTTTTTTTAATTCCGCGTCGACGTATTCGCGGGCGACAGCTAGTTACGATATAAAATTCTTTTACTGTATTTATTGGCTCGTCATATAATAATGACAGGTTATAAAATATATTTTTAATTCTACTAATTCCTTTCCTATTAAAGCACAATGCGGAATTATGTTGTGTTGTCATTTATAGTCGCCATATTGTGACATGTAACTTGTCACTAAACTTTGTTAAACAATTGATCAATTATATTAATGTGGTGTAGAAATCATTGCAAAGAGTTTTTATTACACACCATTTACATCTAACAATTAAGATTTCATTGAGTTGTTATCCAGGAATTATAATCTAAAGATTTAATCTAGCAAATTTATATTTCGATGACCTAAACTTGGCATTTTAGCAGTAATAAAGCTATTTGCAAATGGTTTTGAATCGTAAAATAATTTGGTTTTTACTATACCAATTGATATAATGAAGGCTAGAACAATTAATTGCGCTATTCCGTATTGTTCTTAAAAAAAAAAAAAAAAATATATATAAGAATTTAATTCCGTCTCAATTTTCTTTTTAATTAAAGTAAATAAATAATAAAGTATAAAATTCAGTATTACTTATCCTTTCTATCGATCATTGCGCATCACTAGTTGTCTTGTTCAAAATGTTGGTAGTACTGAACGTCAAAACTTTAGTTACGCGCTCTTTTTCTTAATTACCTCGATTGTTGCCGGATGAGCTTTTTTAACATCGAAGAAAAAAAAAACGAATTGAATAGGTCATAATTGGATGTAATTCGAGACCACTTTGTTGGGCGAACGACTGTGGGATTAACTAACGTCCGCCATCTTGGATTACATTGCGGTTAGTAGTGATTTACGTTTTGGGCACTTGAAGTATGGGCGGGAAATGATGATTAATTGTCGGCCAGTAATTACAGGGCCCCGTGTTTAAATACTCAAAGTATTTAAACGAGATGTTTGCTTTCGTGCGTATAATTGTAATTGTGTTTTCATAATTATAGCCTTCATGTTGGTATGGTTTACGAAGATAGTATTAACGTTCTGAGGGTTGCCATCATTGCGTCATTTTTTTTAATTTAAACAAAGAGATTACTTTATATTTTATTCATATAATAACCTCAAAATACTTAAATAATCTAAGTTACGATTAACAGCGATGTTAAAGGCAAAGTTTCTTAAAGTTTAATGATTTTATTATCTTATATATATTAAAGAAAGTCGTGTTAGTTACACTATTTATAACTCAAGAACGGCTTTACCGATATGGCTGAAAATTGGTGAGGAGGTAGCTTAGAGCCAGGAGACGGACATAGGATACTATTTATTCTTTTTTTTCGAATTTATGCCTTGAAGAGCTGCTTTTTATTTAACTTACTAATATTATAAATGCGAATGTTAAGATGGATGGGTGTTTGAAGATATCTCTAGAACGACTGAACGGATCTCGATTAAATTTGGCATACGTATAGTCTGAAAGAACACATAGGGTAAACTAATTAAGTTTTTTTATATATCCACGCGGACGGAGTCGCGGGCGTCAGCTAGTTTTCTTATAATTTATTATCTATGACCTACCGGTTTCAATTTAATAACGCTAACATGGCGTCAGCGCATCTAATAATGAGATTTTAACAATCTATCTAATAAAGTGCTTTACGTTTTAGAATTTATTGTAAGTTTTATGACCGCGCATTTATAAGTGTCCATTTTAAATTAGATTCAGCACTTTATGTTTATGCTTGAAGCGCTTTACGCGTTATACGTATAAGAGAAAATTTTAATTAGATTTATGATTTTTATTTTAATTACATTTAAAAATATATCTTACTAATAATATAAATGCGAATGTTGAGTTGGATGGATGGTAATTTGGCATACATATTGAACATAGTCTGGAAGAAAACTTTTTTTAATTCCGCGCGCACGGAGTCACGGGCGACAGCTAGTTGACAATATAATATAGGTATTGTTATCATTTTCTCTGTATCTTTAGATTTCTGATTAATTTGACAATTATACGATATTAAAAAAAAATAGAAGCTTTTTTATTATATTGCATATATTGAGAACAAACATAAAAAATTTGGTAGCTTATGAGATGACAAGATATAAAAAATATTTATTTAAATAATCGATTTGAAATATCGATTTTATCGGTTATTCTAGTGATGTACGATCATATTGTATAATAGACAACAGATAACAAAATTATCTATTATTAATGTAATGGATTTAGATTCTGTGTCACTAGAGTTAGTACAGATAAGAATACATGCTTCTTTTTTTTTTTGTTTTTGTTTTGTGTGTTCTAGAATTATTCACCGTTTAGCTCTTTTAAATGAATGTGCGTACTAATATTATAAATGCGAATGTTTAGATGGATGTATGTTAGAAGGTATCTACAGAACGGTTGAACGGATCTCGATGAAATTTGGCATAGATGTAGAACATAGTCTGGAAGAACACATAGACTACTTATTAAGTTTTTTTTTATCATGCGCGGATCAACTCTCGGGCGACGGCTAGAGATTAATAACATTATTATAACGTTTGAATTTTTATGGATTAATTTTGACACATTGCGACAGAGAGAGATGGAAGAAAGGGATGAAAGATATCTTCTTTGGCAAAAAATAAATCTTATGAAAGGCGTGAATAATTTTAGTACCACATCAACCGTCATTTGCGTAATGCCTGATGCACGCGAAATACGCATTTGCATTGACGTATTATTATAGTGTCGTTAACAACGATTACATTCAAAATGTTAATATTTAAGCGGCCATTTTTTTTTTAATTAATCGTCGAGGGAGACCGCACGCGTTGAATGCTTTTGCCTTCCGTCGCGGTTGCGATTTTCAAAATGGCGGGCACGATTACGCGCCCTTTTCATTAATCACTTTAGAAATTCTTACAAAACTAACTGCCGGTCAGAATTGTTAAGTGGTCTTTAGTGATTTAATTTGAGAAATCTACACTAAGGATCTTTTCTTTCTTATTGTACAGACCAATCTAAGAACAGTAGTAAATCTTACTAATATTATAAATGCGAATGTTTAGATGGATGGATGTTTGAAGATATCTCAAATTTGGCATACATGTAGAACATAATCTAAGAGAATTTGGCTATTAAGTGTGTTTTTGATTCCGCGCGGACCGAGTCGCGGGTGACAGCCAGTATTGCAACTAATTTTTCTCACCCCAAGCAAATAATTTATAGTCTGTTTATCCAGATTATATTTTACATCTATACCTTTCAGCAAGACACATGTAGCCGTTTGTTCTTTTAACAAACATCCATCCATCTAAACATTCGCATTTATAATATTAGTAAGATAACCAGGAAAGTTCAAGGTATATTTAAATTAAATTAAGTGACTCAAATCAAAGGTAATTTTCCGTTTTTCATGTAAAATATACAGTTCAAATTATTACCAATTATTACCAACTGTTGATTAAACACACTTGGTAATAATTTCAAGCCGCATTACTTGTTTCTCGTCAGTTATTGAAATGACGTAAGTAGTGATGAATGATCCTGTTGAACGACGCTCGTTTAGCGGTAATCTTTGTTTAATTTAATTTTAATGGAAGGATAACTTCAAGGATACTTCGTTTACCGAAAAAGATATGGATCTTTTTAATGTTTGTAAAGTTTAAAAGATTGCAGTGTTATTGTAATCTTACTTCTTACTAATATTATAAAATAGCTGTCGCCCGCGACTCCGTCCGTGGGGATATATAAAAAAACTTAATTAGTGTAGCCCACCCATCCATCCACATCACATCCATCTAAACATTCGCATTTATAATATTAGTAAGTTAAATAAAAAGCAACTCTTCAAGGCATAAATTCGAAAAAAAAGAATAAATAGTATCCTATGTCCGTCTCCTGGCTGTAAGCTACCTCCTCACCAATTTTCAACCATATAGGTAAAGCCGTTCTTGAGTTATATATAGTGTAACTAACACGACTTTCTTTTCTATATATAGTTAAGATAAGATGTGATTGTTTGGATGTATTGTGAGAAGATATCTCCAGAACGTCTCAACGGATTTTGATGAAATTTGGCATACATAGAGAACATAGTCTGGAAGAACACATAGGCTACTAATTAAGATTGACGTTGGAAAAATATGTTCTGTTCTGACAATCAACTGTTTTCATTGTCCAAAATACTTGTATGAAAACATTTATATCTCTTTTTTCTCAAAGATAATGAAAAGTTTTATCTTTTATATGTTTTGGTAGACATATGTTGCAGCAATGAAAACTTGGATAGCAAAAATAATCATTTTAAGCATTTTCCACGGAATTATCGTAGGCCTAACTTATAATGTAACTTTCTTCTCAGGTCCGGACATTCCGGGTTTCTTGCTGCAACCGTTCCGGAAGCCGAAGAGGATCCGGACGGCGTTCTCTCCGTCGCAACTGCTCAAGTTGGAGCACGCGTTTGAAAAGAATCATTACGTGGTCGGTGCGGAGAGAAAACAGTTGGCACAGGCGCTCAGTTTAACTGAAACACAGGTACGTTGGAATACTACAAATTACAAAGACGTTTGTACTATAATATATTATGTTGGTATCTCTGTGTTTTGAAAGAGAGAACGAGAGAGGTAATACGTTTTACGGTTATGCAAACTTCAAATCTTAGAAACAAAATTCATAATAGGCAAACGTTTAATTTGGCATAATCCTGGCACACCTCTCTCATTTTTTAACGTATTCATTTACATGCAGGCTTTTTAGGGGAACTGCAAAATATATACCGTGTATGGGTATCAACTGCTGATTACATAACGCCCGCTTGCAACAGTCCGTGTATGACTGTCGTTAAATCATTAATCTATAGGATGTCACCAATGTGACCAATGTAAGGCTTTCTATACACTACTATTAGTAAATACTGTGAGCAATGTTTAAGGCAGGAATTAGTTTGGGCGTGGTTGAGCGACCCAGGGCGCTGGACACAATCTCATGTAACCCTGTTAACGCCCTAAAGGTCTGGTAAAAAGTGTTAGAAATTGCCCAGGGCGATAATAGAGCTATAACCTTTTTTATTTTTGTCAGAAATTCAACGATAATTTTTGAATTTGGAATTTCGTATTTGAAACACTAACGCGCCCTTTTTCGTTAATCGATTCATTGCGATATTAATTATTCCATAACTGGCTAAAAATGTTTTTATGTCAGTTTCAACAGTTGACACAAATAGCTTGTAATACAGTCTTGTATTTAACCGATGCAGTTTTTCTTGTTTTTAAGATTAACTAAATATAGCTGGCCAGTAGTATGCTTTAATTTATTCTTTGAAAATAAACAAAACGTACTTTTTCTTTTGCTTTTTAAAATTAACGTAAATGTCAACGACTGAATTTTATAGAAAATCTAATAGACGGAAAAAAGGAAGGCTAAAGAAACATGGGACGATCAAAAATCTTATTTCTTACTAATATTATAAATGCGAATGTTTAGATGGATGTTTGTTGAATGAACGACTCAACGGATCTTGCTTAAATTTGGCATAGATGTAGAATTAATCTGGAAGAACACATAGGTCACTTATTTTTTTAAATTCCGCGCAGACGGAGTCGCGTGTAAAGGATAGTAACATATATACGATAGATAAACCAGAAATTGTACGTTGTCTCTGTCGTATTTAATTTCCAATAACAATTATTTTAAAGAATTAATCATGAAGTCAAGCACTTGACTTGCAATCTGCAGGTCCTGGGTTCGAATCTCGCCATGTACCAATGTGTTTTTCTATTTCCGATTTACATATGTACATTTATCCGACGTTCTTACGGTGAAGATAAACATCGTGATGCACATATTTGAGAAGAAATTCAAAGATATGTGTGAAGTCAACCAACCCGCACTTGGCCAGCGTGGTTGACTATGGCCTAATCACTCTTAACTTAGGGTAGGCTCCGAGCCCATCGGTGGGGAAGTATAGTGAGCTGATGATGATGATTAGCAGTTCAAGTGAAAAATGCTAAATGTTTTCCAAACATTTCCCGCTATTTAATTTTTAACCGGATTTTTCTCAACCACGCCTAGTCACAGTTAATCGTATTTAGTTAAAGCCAGTTAACAACTTAATTAAACGAAATGTTTAAATCATTAGTTCACATATAAGACAATCTTGTTTTTGCCTGATTAACGTTTATGTTACACACCTTGTAGCTGTTTTCTAAAGAAATAATTCCCTGGCTTTACGGAGGGACGTTAGTTCCCTCTGCATTTTTACCGCTACCATGGGGAGTGTTCCGAAGAACTATTTGGAACGATTCCTGCCTAGTTCCGTCATCGGACGACTCGACAGGCCGCTAGGTTCCACGACACTTGGATGACTGGCATTCCACAATGGTGCGATTCTCGAGCAATTCCTTGCTTCGCACAGCCGCGTTGTGGAACGGTCTGGCCTCGGCGGTATTTCCAAACCAATACGTCTTAGGGACCTTTAAGAAGCGAGCATACCATTTCCTTAAAGGCAACGCATCTGCAGTTCCTCTCGTGTTTCAGATGTCCATGGGTGTCGTTGATAATCTCAGTGTTCCCGCGGCTCGTTTGCCCCCTTCACTTATAAAAAAAAATATATTTTAAAACAAAGGGTCTTATCAGACAGACGGACAACAACGTGATACTATAATGGTTCCATTTTTTGCGATACGGAACCCTAAAAACAGATATGTTTTTTTACAAGTTAAACGTCAGTTCGGGTTCACGGTCAGTAGCTCATTCGACCTATGTTTTTTATTTGCCCTCTACTAAACTAATTTACATAGTAATTTGTCCATTGAATTTTACAATAGCAAGATGCTTTTAAGGTTATATTATGTTTTTAAATACTTAGCTATCACAGCGACTTAAAGTAGGTCTTAGTCTCCGACAAAAGAGGTCGCTAAAGTTGCCTGTCCTGTGCAAACCAACAGGTCCAGTCCTACTCTCGCCAGTGGTATCTGGACGAGCCTGTAGGTCGGCGGTCAAATTTATCTTTACTTAAATATTATCTATTAGCTGTCGCCCGCGACTCCGTCCGCGTGAAATGAAAAGAAAAACTTAATTAGTTACCTAAAATTATTTGAATTTTGGAACGAACCAAATTTTTTTCCCGTTTTTGCAACATTTCTCACTGACGCTTCGCTCCTATTGGTCGCAGCGTAATGTTATATAGCCTAAAGCCTTCCTCTCTCTCTCCTCTATAATAATAATCTTCTCTATAAATGGAGTAACCAACAAAAAAAGAATTTTTCAAATCGGACCAATAGTTCCTGAGAATTGCGCGTTTAAACAATCTCTACAGCTTTATAATATATATATGATCTATACAAAAAATTGTTTGTATATTTGTCTCCTCAAATTTCCTATACGATTAAACTAACTATGATATTACTGGAGTCGAGTATTCATAGGTAGAAATAGCTTTTGATAAAAACTTAGCATTCTTTGGTTGTTTGTGATTAAAATTAACGGTTAACAGTTTCAAGTACGTTCTAATTGTTATATGACATTGTTTTAACTGCAGCATTACGTCCAGTTTAAATAGAAACGAATATAAAAAAAGTTAAAAAATTAACTTCCATGAATGATGTATATTCCTTATATTGTAAAACAACATCGTTAGCTGTTGATTATGTATGTATGAGAGTGTTTGAGAGTGTAATAAGCCTTGTAGAATACTGTATGTTAGCTGATGAGGTTTTTTTTTCTTGCAATTTGAAACATGAACATCTTTATGTTCAAGAAAAATCTCCTAGTAAAGACGCATTCCCTAATAAAGGCTAGGGAAGCGTATTTAAAATACTTATTTTAGGAAAACTTATAGTACATAACGACAAATCATATTAAAATCACAAAATATTCAAATCATCAGCTCGCTATATGTCACCACTGAGGCTTGGAGCCTGGTCGCGGACGACAGCGAAAGTGAGCCCGTGGCCCCGTTCCGATGCGTTGGAGGAACAGAGAGGTTTAGTGGGTATGCCTCCGCTTTGGAGGAGAATCCCACATAACTACCGCGTCCCCCCGGGACGCGGAGTATGCATAAAGCATTCCTCTCTGGAAAAAAATGGGCTCGGAGCCTACCCTAAGTTAAGGGTGACTAGACCTTAGTCAACCACGCTGGCCAAGTGCGGGTTGACTTCACACATATCTTTGAATGACAACATTCACATATTCTAATACAAACTTTCATCCCCTTTTCCCTATTGTTATTTTTCACCCTTGAGGGTAACATACAAAAATTTAATGTCATATTTATTGAAACCAAATTAGAAGTCTAAAAAAGTTTCAAGCTTCATTATAAAGAAATTACGACATTCCCATACAAATCTCTACCCCCCTCTTTCAAGCCCTTACAACCCCTTTTTAGCGTTAAAAAGTAGCCTATGTCCTTTTCCAGGCTCTAGACTATCTATGTACCAAATTTCATTAAAATCGGTTCAGTAGTTTTTGCATGAAAGAAGTACAAACAGACAGAGTTACTTTCGCATTTATAATATTAGTAATGATTAAGTAAACATACTAAGTAAGTAAAAAACAATTAAAAAATAACATTTCCTCAAGTCTCAATAACCAAATTATGAACAGTAAATATTTAACGTTAATAGCTCGTTTGCTACGGACGCACGGACGGACAGGCAGATGCTTGTAATTTATTTAATAATATAAAATTACAGCTATCGAGTACAACCTGTCTCAAACCTTGTTGTCTTATGATGATTATTGGGAAAGAGGGAAAATATTATTAAAGAATATGGTTCCGTAATAAAATATGATTTATGACATTTTCATACACTTTTATTAGCTTAATAAAGAAGCATATTACAAGTTAGTTTTTTTTATATCATAAGTTGGCAAACGAGTGAGCCACCTAAATCGCTGAAATAGCGAAGTGACCGTTGCCCATAGACATACGCAATTGCATGTACGTTGCCTACCTTTAATCGACGGAGGAGAGGATGCACAGAAAGAAAATATTTTCCCTTTCCATGCATCCTCTCATGCGGAGAGTCAACTTCCACTTCCTATAAGAAAAAGGGTGGGAGGGGAAATAGGACTAAATTAGGCCTCCGCGACGCACACTCATCAGCCGAAACGCAAAATTGCTTCCACTTGACGCCTGTCTTCTGTGTGGTCGTCGTATTTCACTGGGCGAGCCGGGACAATTTTTGCGAAGTTGTTAAAGCGGGCTCTACCACTGTTAAAATAGTTAAAGAAATTGATTCTTTATACACAAGGCCAGGTGAATTGGTAATCCGGAAATTTAAGTCGCTAAGCAAAGTCATAGAGTTACACAGTGCGCGTCGTCGACATTTCTATTTGTCATCGCTAAAGACCGCTTGCAACCTATCAAGATAGTCGTGAGAATCATCATCAGCTCACTATACGTCCCCACCGAGGGGCTCGGAGCCTACCCTAAGTTAGGGGTGACTAGGCCATAGTCAACCACGCTGGCCCACTGCGGGTTGGTTGACCGTGTTGGTCGTGAGAATAGCGTCAGCAATTTTCAAGATGGCGGA